AAGAGAGAGAGAGAGAGAGAGAGAGAAAGAGAGAGAGAGAGAGAGAAAGAGGAGGAGGAGGAGAAAGAAAAGAGAGAGAGAGAGAGAGAGAGAGAGAGAGAGAAAGAGGAGGAAGAGGAGAAAGTAAAGCGTTTGCTGTTGCACGCGGGCTCTGTTACACCATTTTTCACTTCTCGTCTCGCCACAACCCGCGCATTCTTAGTTCGGACAAAAACTCGCGCAAGCGAAGAAGCCGGTGGCATCACGCGGCGACAGAAAAACCGGCAAGTCGATCCCCCGTTTACTCAAATAAAGTTCACACGACTATAAATAGATGTCCCGTTTTCAGCGAAGTTGCAACGCCGACGGTCGGGCCGACTCGGTGAAGATGCGTGCGCAAGCGCAGCACGACAAAAACCAACCGATACAAACCCCGCCGACCAAAACTAACCGATAAAAACGAGGTATAAGCTATTGCGACGCGCGCGGTTTATCTCAGGAGTTTACTAATTCTTTACTACTCGTCTGCAACCAGCGCGCGGGTCTCTGCGCGAGGCATCGTATCCGGGTTTAATACTCGAAATATTTGACAAAGATTATATGTATCAATTCAACTTCGATCTTGAATGGTATGGCAAAATCTTTTCCGCATTTCGTTTTTTTTCGCTCATTTCCGCGCGCATCGGCGAGAGAGAAGGTCGAGTTGGTACATCGTAAATAGATGTTTGGGGTGAGTGTCGGCTGTAGCTCAGCGACGCTTCGTCGATATATAATGTATGCTTACTTCTGTATGTCGGTGAGTGAGTGGTTCATCTACGACGCAGCATAAAAACATATAGTTATATACATAGGCCTATAGTTCTGCGACGCAGATCTTTCCCTTCTCTTCACCTCAATCTCCTCTCTCCCTCCCTCCCTCCCTTCCTTCCTTCCTTCCTCCTTCTCTCCTTCTCTTCCTCTCTCGCCCTCCCTCTGTCCCTCGCTCTCTGGCCCTCTCTCTGTCCTTCGCTCTCTCCCGTCCACCTTTTCTTACTTCCTCCCTGTCTTCCTTCTTCGTGCCCTCCCTCTCTCCCTCCCTCCGCGTTTCCTTTTCTCTTTCTAATTTTCTCTAGCTTCCTATCTCTTCCTTACCGCTTGCGCTGTCCTTCTCTTTCTACTTGTCTCTGTTTTTATTTATCTCTATTACTTTCTATCTCGCTTCCTCTCTCCTCTCTCCCCTTTTGTTTCTCCTTCTCTTTCCTTTCCACCATTCCTCCCGCCCTTTCTCCCTTCCTTCCTTCCTTGTAGTTCCTTCCCATCTCCCTTCCCTCCCTCTCTCCCCTTGTGCTATTTTTTGCCTCTATAATTCTCCTTCCTTTTCCTCTAAACACAATCACTATTTTTCGCCTTAGAAAACCCGGCGCACGGCGCGAAGAATAGAATTAATTATTCCGAAACCTCCCACGAGTTGTCGACGGCCGCCGCACTGACGCGCATGCTGCGAGCCGAGAGATACTTTAAGAGCTTCTCCCGGGAGACCGGCGTGTTTGTGTGTGATCGGCAGCATCCATGCGTGCATGCGCGACGAGCGCGCGTGCGTGTCTGATGACAACACGGCAAGTCGCGAGAGCAGCTGTTACGGTACGCGAGGCTGCGTCCGCATCACGCACACACATACGCGACCCTCGTACACCTACGACGCGCATGCGACAGCTCATACACACACACCCAGTACACAAGTATGCGAATTATTAGGTTGGTTCTCCTGAAAAAAATCGTCTCGCTCGCTCGCAGCGCGTGCAACTATAAACGCGGGTTTCTTGCGGAGGCGCTATCGCATCGAGATGCGGAGTGATGCTGCTGGAAGGATGTGGGATGCGGAGTGATGTTGGGGAATAGTAAGGGATGCGGAGTGAAGCTGCGGGAAGGATGTGGGATTCGGAATGATGCTTGGGAATGCTTAAAGAGGCGAGGGATGCTGGACGCGGCCTGAGGGATGCGATGTGAGGCTGAACGACGAGGAGTAACGTTGAGGCAGGGATGAGGGATGCGGAGTGATGCTGCGAGGGCTGCGGGATGCGAGTGATGTTGGAGAAGCAGCGGAATGCAAAGCGATGTTCAGGGAGGCTGAGGAATGCGGGGGATGTTGGAGAGGCTGGCGAAGGGTTTAGAGATGCGAAGTGATGCTGATCGAGGCTGAAGGATGGGGAGTGATACCGGGGAAGGTTAGGTATACGGGGTGATGCTAAGAGAGCGATTAGGGATGGGAAGTGATGCTTGGAGAGGCTGAGGGATGCGGACTGATGCCGAGGGAGGGATAAGGCATGGGAAGTGATGCTGAGGGAGGAATGAGATATGTGGCGCGATGCTAAAGGAGGGATGAAGGATGTGGAATGATGCCAAGATAGGGATGTGGGCTGCAGAGTGATGCTGAGGGAGAGCTGAAGCTCTAATTGCTACCTCAGAATCATCAAGCGAGGAGGCACTATGACATCTATAATTTATGTCTATATAGATTCGGCCGGCCTGCTTAGTTTTTATCTAAGCTACACCGCGCGCACCAACGCTTTTTACGAGACGCGTGGCCGACGCATGCGCGCGTGGTGGTCGTCACGACGTGCGCGTTTTAGTTCGACGTTAAACACGAGCTGTTCGGTCGTTTTTCCGCGTTGACGTGTCTCGCGAAGGCGCTTGCATTCTCGTTGGATGGCAGGCGCGGTGAACGCGGGTAATCGAGATGTGTCGGCATGGCAGCATGCCGCTGCGGTGTCCTGTAACGCGCCGATATCTATACGTGCACGGCCTGCGCGCCGGTTTTGTCCGCGTCTATCGCTGCTGCTGCTGCTTCTGCTGCTGTTGTTGTTTTTGTTATTGCTGCCTGCTGCTATCGCTGCTGCTGCTGTTTTTGTTGTTGCTGCCTGCTGCTATCGCTGCTGCTGCTGTTATCGCTGCTGTTACTGCTGCTGCTATCGCTACTGCTGCTGTTGCTGTCGCTACTGCTGCTGCTGCTACTGCTGCTGCTGTTGTTGTTGTTATTGTTGTTGTTGCTGCTGCTGCTGCTGCTGCTGCTGCTGCTGCTGCTGCTACTGCTGCTGCTACTGCTGCTGCTACTGCTGCTGCTACTGCTGCTGCTGCTACTGCTGCTGCTACTGCTGCTGCTACTATACTGTTTCTGCTATCGCCGCTGCTCCTCAAGCAGGCGGGCTTGGACGCAAGCTGAGACAGTGGCGGGTAGACGCCGCGGCTCTATAACATTCGGCAAGTGTCGAATGAACATCGATTAATCGCGCCTGTCTTCCAGTTTACGTGAGACACGCCGTCGTTCCGTGGCGAACACGTGATGAAAAACATCGCTGCCTCATCGCGCGCGTCGGCCACCTAGCCCCACGTCACTTCCAACGACCAATTAGATTTAACATGTAGCTCTCTCGCTCGTTCTCTCTCTCTCCCTCTCTCTCTTTCTCTCCCTCTCTCTCTCTTTCTCTCTCTCTATCTCTCTCTCCTACCCTAACCCTCTGCTACACACCGTCTGCACTTAGGATATCGCTTGGTGCAGTGATAATTATACGTCGCCTTGAAAGATTGTATCAAGAGCGCATAAGTCAAGCGCGTATAATCAAGAGCGTATAAGCCTTCGCTCTTGATTGTATATATATCGAACAGCGACTTCAAGCCAGCGGCATTTCAAGGTAAACGCGCCCTGCGGCCGAGTAGGAGAAGGCTGACAGAGCGCCACCACCGGATAAGCACATCTCGAGGTGCGTTTTTAGTCAATTGTTTTTTTTAGTCAATCGCTTTTCTCGTTATCTCTCGCGGCGCGGCAGCCGCGCGGGTCTGTTCATTGCAAACCTCCTACAGGTTCTCTCCGGGAAAGGGAAATTATTAACGGCAAAAATTCGCCGGTAGCGATCAGGCTCTCTGCTTCTATGAAGAGGATCCCTCGTGAGAGAGGAGCCGCTTCGATGGAGAGGATCCCTCGTGAGAGAGGAGCCGCTTAGATGGAGAGGATCCCTCTCTCTCTCTCTCTCTCTCTCTCTCTCTCTCTCGCACGCTCTCTCTCCCTCTCTCGCACGCGCTCTCTCTCTCTCGCTCTAGATATATATATATATATTTACATATATAAACAGTCTATCCCCGCTATTCACTATGCACTCTCTCTCTCTCACTCGCTCTTGGTCTCTCTCTCTCTCTCTCTCTCTCTCTCTCTCTCTCTTTCTCTCTTCCCCTCTCTTTCTCGGCCTCTCTCTCTCTCGCCGTTGGCAAAGCTCGGCTGTAACGCGCCGACGTTCTGTGTGCGCCGGCAGACGTCGGCGCGTGACGACAGCACTACGTCGCCTACGATGCCGCGGCGTCTCTGTCTCCGCAAGCCGATGATCTCTCGTCGCAGCAGAGCAATCCGCCGCGTCTGCTTGGACGCGCGTAAACAGAAACTCGATACGCGATCGGGCTGCAGCTGACGGCGTCGGCTGGCGCGGTGTGCGACTGGGCACTGTCACTGCCCGCGCGCGGCTGCTCTCTCTTACTACGCGAGCTAGCAGCGCTGCGTCTCCTAGCTGCTATAACTAGGCGATGC